CCTTTTGGATATGATACCGAAAGCAAAAACAAACAAGTGGGATTCCATCAAACTTAAAGGCTTCTGCACAGCAAAGGAAACACTCAACAAAATGCAAAGGCAACTTATGGAATGGGAGAAAATATTTGCAAACCATACCTCTGATAAGGTGTTAATATCCAAAATATGTAAGAAATTTATAGCAATAAATAGATCAATAAATAGTAGGTAAAGGACTTCAATAGACATTTTTCCAAAGACATACAAATGGTTAACAGATACACGAAAAGGTGTTCACCATTACTATCATCAGAGAAATGCAAATCAAAACTACAATGAGATAATCGCCTCACACCTGTCAGAATGGCTATTATCAAAAAGATGAGATAACAAGTATTGGCCAGAATGTGAAGAAAAGGGAGCCCTTGTGCATTGTTGGTGAGAGTGTAAATTGGTATAGCCATTATGGAAAACAGTATGGAGGTTCCTCAAAAAATTAAAAATATAATTACCATATGATCCAGCAAGCCCCCTTCTAGGTATATATTGAAGGAAATAAAATCAGTATCTCAAAGAGATGTCTGCACTCCCATGTTCATTGCAGCAGTATTAACAACAGCCGAGACAGGGAAACAATGTAAATGTCCGCTGAGGAAGGAATAGATAAAGAAAATGTGGCATATGTACACAATGAAATATTACCCAGCCATAAAAGGAAATTCTTTCATTTGTAACATGAATAAAAATGGAGGGCTTACACTGAGTGAAATAAGTCAGATAGAGACAGACAAATGTTGTATGATCTCACTCATGCATGGAATCTAGAAAAGTTGAACTCATAGAAACAGAGAATACAGTTACCAGGGGCTGAAGAGTGGGGAAATTGGGGGAGAACGTGGTCAAAGGGTACAAACTTCCAGTTATAAGATGAATAAGCTCTGGGGATCCAATGTATTATGGAGCAGTGGCTCCAGTTAGCCATATTGTATTTCATAACTGAATTTGCTAAGAGAGTAGATCTTACATATTCTCACTACACACATAAAAATGGTAACTGAGGTGATGGATGTGTCAACTAATTTGATTGTGCTAATCATTTCACAATATATAGATATATCACATTTAAAAAAAAAAAGGCATGGAGGAAACTTAAATGCATACTGCTTAGTGAAAGAAGCCAATCTGAAAAGGCAATACATCATATAATGCCAACAATAGGATTTTTGGCAACAATATTTTGGAAAGGGCAAAACTATGAAGACAGTAAAAAGATCAGTGGTTGCCAGAGGTGTGGGAGGAGGATAGACAGAGGGATGAAGAACTGGAGCACAGTAGATTGAGATTGTTCTGTATGATACTGTAATGGTAGATACATGACATTATACATTTGGCAAAACCTGCAGAATCTACAGCATGAAGAGTGAACCATAAAGTAAACTACAGACCTTTGTTAATAATGGTGGATCAATTTGAGTTCTCCCTTTGTGACACACATACCACACTAATGCAAGGTGTTAATAATGGGGGAAGCTATCTGCTCAGTCATCTGTAAACTTAAACTGCTCTTTAAAAAAGTCCATTAATTTTTTAAAAATCAAAAGAAATGTAAAAACAATCAGTGAGGTTGGTTTTCAAACTGGTCACTGAAAAGGTTAATGCAATAATTAATGAGAGGAATGTAGGTTCAGAAACCAGTCGTGACCAGAACTGTCTGCTATGAGACTATCAGAAGTAGCTATAGTCCCCATGCAATTAGTAATAACAGTTGAAATAACATCTACACTGATGTATACCATGGGCAGATTTATAGATAAGGAAGATAATGATACTTATGTGAGTACTTGTTTTTTGTTTTTTATTTGAGACAGAGTCTTACTCTATTGCCCAGGATGGAGTGCAGCGGTGTGATCTCGGCTGATTGCAACCTCTGCCTCCCGGGTTCAAGCGATTCCTGACCCTCAGCCTCCAGAGGAGCTGGATTACAGGCATGCACCACCATGCCAGGCTAATTTTTGTAGTTTTTGGTAGAAATGGGGTTTCACTATGTTGGCTAGAACTTCTGACCTCAGGTGATCTGCCCTCTTCGGCCTCCCAATATATGAGTACTTTTAAAACAAGTGACTCCCTCAGATCTTGTTTTATTTTCACAAAACTTATTCTATCTGAACTTTGAAGTCTCATTAAGGTTTTATCCAACTGGTAAAAGTAGACTAGGATGCCTATGGAGAAATAAAGGTAAAACTCACGATGTCAATCTAACACTAGCCAGAGTTTTTACAGAGGAGACAGACTGCCCTGTATTTCGTTATTTATGCTTCTTACCCTTTCATTCTACATGTATGTGCAAATTAGCTCCTTGCTTCATATTAACTTTCAAATAGCGCTCGGAAGCTTTCCATCTGACCTTTCTGTGGCCAGCAGGAGGAGACCAGGGAGCTTAACGCATTCCCATATCCTGGTTTCTGTGTCTAGAATTCTTGCTTTGAATTTTATAAAGCTACTATTCATACATCTGAGACAAGAAATTCAAATACAGTAAGATACTCATTATAAATAATGGTTTTAACCCTAGATGGGTTATAGTGAGGGGATTAGTTTTCCAATCTTCACTTTCTATAGAACACAGACTCAAAGAAAACACAGACTCTGTCAAAGGCTAGAACTCAAATCTTACGATAATTCAGTGCTCTTTTCATAAAAACATGCTGTCTTTATATGATCTACATGCCTTACAGGTGTCCTATCCTGAAGGTAAGCAGTGGGTGTGTAATAGGTGACAATATATCTGAGTCACTTATAACACTGCCTGACACAAAGTATACTCTATGTAAGGGGTCAGTAAGCTTCTTCTGTAGAGCCAGACAGTAAACAGTTTAGGCTTTGCCGGCTGTAAAGTTTCTGTTGTAACTAATCAAAGCTGCGTTGGCAGCATGAAAGCAGCCATAAAAATGAACGTGACCAGGTTCCAATAAAACTTTATGGACACTGAATTCGAATTTTATATAATGTTCACATATCATGAAATATTTTTCTGATTTTTTTCAACCATAAAAAACGTAAAAACGGATGTAAAAACAGGCAGTGGGCTGGGGTTTTGGGGCACAGTTTGCTTTATATAATTAGTAGCCATTATTATGATGTCTATAATATCTTTCTAGAAATTATTTTTAATGGTTGCTTAAACATAGAGTCTGTTTCTATGTTTTTTATTTTTAATGGCTGCTTAAACTGGTAGGAGAGGGAAGATTCAAACCCAGCTTGTGTGACATCAAGGCCCATGCTCTTTCATAAACAAGATTGTCTGGATGTTCTATAATTTACTTAGTCCCCTGTGGTAAGAATGTAGGCTATTTCCAAAATTCATTATTACAACTCACCCTCCAGTGAACATCTGTGTAGTTAAGTCTTTACGTGCACATAGTATTATACCCATACCTTAACATGTATTTAGTGGTAGCTATCAAAACGGCTGGCAGGGGTGTGTGCGCGCCTGTAATCCCAGCTACTCGGGAGGCTGAGGCAGGAGAATCGCTTGAACCCGGGGGGCGGAGTTTGCAGTGAGCCCAGATCGCGCCATTGCACTCCAACTTGGGCAACAAGAGCGAAACTCTGTCTCAAAAAAAAAAAAAAAGGTTGACAGAGCATTTAAAGAAACAGACTCTAAAGAAGTAATCTCAAAAAGTAATCTTTTATGGTTACAAGAAAGTTCAGACATACTAGAAAAGGAGTTTTATAAATACCATATATATACATAGAACGTACGTCCCAAACACCATTTTAAGACCTTTATATATAATTACACCATTTAGTCCTCAAAACAATACTATGAAGTGCAGGTATAATTATCACTATCATCATCATCATTATCCCCATGTTCCTAAAAGGAAACTGAGGCACAGAAGGGCTAGGTAACTTCTCCAAGGTCACACAGTAAACTGGTAGGAGAGGGAGGATTCAAACCCAGCTTGTGTGACATCAAGGCCCACTCTCTTTCATACCAGGCTGCACTTGCCCAGTGTGCACCTCCAGGTACTCTTTATAATGTGCCTTCACACAATCGGTGGTGGTCTTTTTTATACTGAGATCACATTTCACATGCATGAACGACCTCATACTCTAATAACTGGTGCCAATTTTAACCCATAATGGGACACTTTTGGTGGAAACTGGGTACCCATCTAACCTTCCTCTATTGTCCTACAAGACACCTCCGCACCAACGCCAATTCATTAACTTTCCCTGTTTTTCTTACCCAAAATAGCTGTCCAGTAAACAGTAAAGGTGGATTGGAGCATACTCTCATGTCTTACTTTCCAATGTATGGCCCCAAATCTACATTCAGGTGGTGCTTTGCCTACAATGGAGGGCCCTGTACCGCCTGGGATTGCTGTTTCCATTAAGTACCCTTCTTTGAAAACAAAAACAGTGGCACGTGTCAGAAGTCCCTCCCGCGCGGCCTCTTCCCCCTCTTCTTCCGCAGCAGGAGGCCTGGCCCCCGCGTCCTGCACCCGTCTGGACCAGACGTTCAGCCTCCCCCTCCAGACTTGGACGGGAACTTGCGCGCACTCCGGGGTATTCCCTGTTTGTGCTGAGTTACATGCGAATCTCCCAAAAAGGAGATATGCAAGTGGGTCGTCCAGCTTTGAAGGGAAACGAGGATTCCCTTTCTCATTTTCTCTCCTGATTTCTCTCCCTAACCGGACCGCACTTCTCGAATTATCCCCGTGGGGAGGAACGACAAATGCCGCCGGTCCCACCAAACTGCCGCCCCCCACTCATGCCCAAACAAGGATAGACTCTTCTAGCGAGGGAACAAAAAAATAAATAAGCGGGCGTTTCAAACCGAGTCCTCGGGTGTGCAGACCCGCCGCGGAGTCCCAAGCTGGGCGGGCAGTCCTGGCAGCGGCGCGGGACTCCGCCCGCCGGGGGGCGCGGGGCGGCGGGCGCGTGCGCGGTACGGCCCCAGCCCTGGCCGCCGCCGCCCGCAGCCGCCGCTGCCGTAGCGATGCCTATTTTAGTCAAAGCGGCTGCGGGCTTGGGGACCCGGCCCGGGCAGCGGAGCTTCCGGACTCGCCGACCCGCCGAGGAGCGCGCGTCGGGCTCCCGTCGAGCAGCTCAGCCCGTGTTCCCCGCGTCCCGCGCCCCGAAGCTGCTGCTCCGAACTTTGGTCGGCGCTGCCCAGGCTCCCCGCCAGGGACCAGCCAGGTAAGGATGGGAGGCGCAGCTGCAGCCTGCTGTCCCCCCGCACCGGGCTGTGTGCGACCTCTCGCTCCCCTGGCTAAATCGGGAAGCGAAAGTTGGATCTCAGCCCCTCGGAGACCAACTTTGTCGGCCCAGGGGGCTGTTGCTTGTTCTCCGCGCCCGGGCAGCCAGGGGCGCCGCCCTCTGTCCCTCCTCGCTGGCCGCGCCCTCGAGGGGCTCCCGGCCCTTGGAGGCCGCCCTTCTCCCCGGGTCTGGGCCCTACGGCCACAGAGACCCTCAAGGGTCAGCGGCCGCCGCTCGGGTCAGGCAGCCCCAGCGTCCCCGGGTCCTCGGCCCCACCGAGTGCTGGCTCCCGCGCTCTGCGGCGGGCATGCCCCTTGGAGAGCTCCGCTTCTGCTCTCCCCGCCGGATCCCCGGGGTTCCTCGTCGCCCCCTGTAGGGCCACCGCGTGCCGCGCAGAGCCTGCGTGCAGCCGGGCGCGCAGTGTCGCCCACTCTGTCCCCGCTCCGAGAGTAGAGTGGGCCGCGGCGCTCACTCCTCACCCCCGCGTCCCGAGAGCGCCTGGCCGAGGAGGACCGTTGCGGCGGACCCTCCTTTAAGGAGCGAGGTTGCGGCGGACCCTCCTTTAAGGAGCGAGGTCAGAGGGCCCCGGGAGAGCGCCGATGGCTGGTGACCCGAGGTCCACGCCACCCACCCGCAGCCTCCTTCCCCGAGCCTTTGGGAACGGGTTGTTGGCCAGACAAGTCCCAGAAACTGCCTGCTTTGAAGCATGAATAAGTGCGAAAAGACTTAGCAATGTAATGCCATTTGCCATTCGGAAGATGTGTGAAGATTCAGTTAGAATTACAGAATGAATTAACTCGACTAGCAAGACTTGCTCGTTGCAGTTATCTTTTTCCGTTTTTTAGTTTGGTAAAGGTTTAATGTTAGTTTCAGCATTTAGCTATTTAGCCCTACAATCACCTATTTGAAAACCGAAAAACGGAACTTTACAAGTATGGGTAACTTAAGGACTTCAACTTTGGTGATCTGATGAGGGAAAGATAATTTCTCTTGATTTAGTCAAAATTAATCAGAAAAGTTTACCGATTTAGCAGTCTAACCTTTCTCTTTCCACCTATTCTCTGTATAGGAATTGTACAGTGTAAGCCACTAAACGATTAAGTGGTAATCAAAGTAAACTGATCTGATCAATATTTTCAACAATAGGTAACTGACATTTCACAATAGACAATTATATAGATATGTAGATACATCTGTATGCCTTTGCATGTATCTCTGTATATACATATCTCTTTAATAAGGTGTAGTGCATCAAAACATGCTTAGGATGACCCTGCCTTCTAAAAATTGCTAATATTTTTTGGTTCATGGGTCATAATTGTAGTTTTCCTGTCATTTTTCTTGGACCAGAAATTGGTACTTTTAATGTCACTTTAAGAACTTATAAAAGCTTGATATTGAATTATAGTGGATTAATAGGCAACATAGGTGAAATTGGGTGAACTCGAAGGGAATATGTATTGATTGACTGACTATGTAAATGTGTATTAGAACCATAGGCTATTAAAATTTTCCCTATTCCAAGGAAGAAACAGACCCGAGGAGCAGAAATGGCTTTCCCTGGCTTATGTGGCTCCCTGGTGGCTTGTGGTATAGAACCTGAGTCAACCTCAGAAAGGCTAGGCACTCTCCTGGCTTTATTACTGAGATGTGGGGAGACTGAACAGTGATTTCTAAAAGTATTTGTCAGGTTGAGGTTCCTTCAGAGTGGCTTTCTTCCCTGCCTCAGTGGCCTTCTCTACAGAGGCTAGGCCTTGGGAGTACATAGATAGATAAATATTATCCCTGCCTCGTAGAGGACAAACAGGACAATGGGAGTGTAGGTACATTCTACAGTGCTGTCGAAATGGTAGTTATTATTAAGCTATGTAATGCTAGGGTAGGTGATGTTAGGTTATGAGTGATAGAGGACATGTCATATCATTCTCTCTCCTGCAGAAGTTATGAGATTCATTCTCGTTTGGCCTTGAAAAGCAAACTTTGTATAAATGGAGTTATTAAAATAATGATCTCCCCCTCATCCTGATAGCTTATATATTTGCTGAGTTCAGACATTTGGAAAATAGGTGAATTTTTGTTTCTTCCCTTTTTGTAGCAAATCAATATCTAAGTCAACTATTACTATTTACGAGCTATTTCAACATTATGTAAAAAGATCTTCAGTTGACTTGATCATTTCATTCACAGTTTGTAAATTGGTGTGTTTGTTTTTTATCAGCTGTAAGCTGTGGAATTCTTTCACATTTGTCTGTTAACATCCTTTCAAAATACCCATTTTGTACCGATTAATTATTCTACTACCTAAAACCTTTACTTTAGTATGTTGAGAACAAGCAGAAAAGTAAGATTAATTGCATGACCTTATTTTGAAAGAAATACATATTTCTAAATTTACATGTATTTAGGGTCCCCATTTGGAATTTTCCTGAAGCAGAATAATTCATATATTCTGTAAACCTACATAGTATTTGGCAAGGACCAGATTTGTGCAATTAATAATAGAGTTTCTTTTAAGGACCAGAGACCGAAGACAGGTACCATAGGAAATGGTTTTATATAAGCATGTGTAAAATGTATATTTTTTAAATGTACTTGCTATAGACTTTAATATGTATAAGTAAACTGGAAGTTTACTACTTTTTAATTTGTGATATGCTACCAACTAGAATTATTATGGGAAATAAAGTAGAGATTTAAATTAGACAATAAAAGTTTCATGTTGTATCTCTCTGTGTATATATAAGTGTTTATATGGCTGTATATTATTTGCATATATGATAATGTATTATGTATGGTATAGTGATTTAATGGCGGTATACAAATCGAGCCTTCTAAATATCCTAAGCCTTCAAATAGATGTGAGGGTATTCATATTTTTTTAAGTATTCAAATAATTAGTTTTCTAGTTATTTTTCCTGTGTTTGGATTCAGTCACCAGTGGGAATTTGGTGGAAGACTAGACTAAATAACTTTGTAATTACCATGGTTTATGAACATTGGTGATTGTCTTAAAGACTAATTCCCTCACTCTTCCCTTCCCTACAAGTCTGTATATGTATATATGTGCCTATGAGGGAATAGTTGTGTGCTATGCTAAGTATAATGATAAGTATGTATCATTTCATTTAATCATAAGGCATATGAGGTATTATTATCATCCTTTAACAGGTAAGGAACTGAGTACATTCAATATGTGACAGAGTTGGGATTTGAATCTGGGTCTGTCTAATTCATAAGCACTAGAGAAGTCTATTTAATTCACAGAAATAATTTTGGTATAATACCTATGGAGGTAAAAAGATACAATTACCATTTTTATGATTTTACTTTTGTTTACTTGTTTTTACAGGAATTTTCAAAATGAATTATACAGAGTCCAGCCCATTGAGAGAATCAACTGCCATAGGTTTTACACCTGAGTTAGAAAGCATCATACCTGTGCCTTCCAATGAGACCGCTTGTGAAAATTGGAGAGAGATACATCATCTGGTTTTTCATGTAGCAAATATTTGTTTTGCAGTTGGGTTGGTTATTCCAACTACTCTTCACCTTCATATGATATTTCTTAGGGGGATGTTAACTCTAGGTAAGATACCTAACTAATATTTTATGTAACTTTTCTGTAACTGATATAAGATGGGCTTTGCATTGAGATCTTCAGAGTATTTTTTGTCAGGCCCATAGCAAGCCAAAAAATGTAAGTCTTCATTAATGAATTAGCAGTATATCAATTAGCTTAGAGCATAGGCCTTCACATGCCATATCTCTCCCTTACTTACTTTGTTTATATGTTCTTTCATGTGTTTAGGTTTTCCAGATACCAGAAAATTCATTCATGTGTAAGAGTGTGGACTTTAGAGCCAAATTGTGTGATTCAAATCCTGGTTCTACATCTTGTTAACTGTAACTTGGGCAAGTGATTTGATCTTTCTACTGCCTCAGTTTCCTCATGTATCAGATAAGGGTAAAAATAATACCACCTCCCAAAGTTGTTATGAATTAAATGTGTGTCATATATGTATTTAACTTGGAATATTGCCTGCACATAGTAAATACTGTATAGTTTTAACTGTTATTACTTGAAAAGATATTTGCTGTGGGCAGTAAAGAATCATTGGGAACAAAAACAATTACCCAGATGCAGTAGTTCAAATAAAACAAATTTTTTTTGGTCCCAGTAACCCTAATGAAGCAAGTTAAATTGATTCACATCAGAATATTAAAACAATTGAATCTGTTACTTTAGCCAGTGATTCTTGACAAATTACTCTCTATGTGATTACTTCCCTAATGGCCCATTTATTCAGGTGCATTTTTTTAGCACCTGTGATGTGTCAGACAAAGATTGAGGAAGGCCATCTTCATCCTTGAGAAAGACACTCTTGTGGGGGCTAGTAGAGAAACAGATGGGCAATCCCAGTATGGCATATCAGATGCTGGGATGCAGGTGTGCACCCATTATCCAGGGGTACACGGAGAAGGTGATAGGCTTAGTAGGAGGGCAGAGCAGGATCCCACTGAGGAGGTGACATGGGACCTGGATTTTGGAAGATGAGCAGGATTTCTCTGAGTGCATGTGTGCAGTATCCGAGCGAAGAGCACAGAAGAGAAGGAAATTGAGCATATTGGGATGAACATAGAGTAGTGCATTGTGCTTAAAAATATATGATAAATCGGCTGGACACAGTGGCTCATGCCTGTAATCCCAGCACTGTGGGAGGCCAAGGTGGGCAGATTACCTGAGGTTGGGAGTTCGAGACCAGCTTGGCCAACATGGTGAAACCTTATCTCTACTGAAAGTACAAAAACTAGCTGGACATGGTGGCAGGCGCTTGTAATCCCAGCTACTCGAGAGGCTCAGGCAAAAGAATCACTTGAACTCAGGAGACAGAGGTTGCAGTGGGCCAAGATTGTGCCACTTGGAATTTCTCTGAAGCAGAATAATTCATATATTCTGTAAAACTACATAGTGTTTGGCAAGGACCAAATTTGTGCAATTAATAAGAGTTTTTTTTAAGGACCAGAGACCGAAGACAGGTAACATAGGAAATGGTTTTATATAAGTATGTGTAAAATGTATATTTTTTTAATGTACTTGCTATGGATTTTAATATGTATAAGTAAACTGGTGACAGATTACTCTGTCCAACCTGGTGACAGAACTAGACTCCGCCTCAAAAAAAAAAAAAAAAAGTGATAAATGACAAGGAAAAAGAGGCTGGAAGGTTAGTAGAAGCATGTGGGGCCTCAGTGGCTGTGTGACCTGTGAGTAAGGTGAGGACTACAGCAGCAGGAACAGGGAGTTGAATGGAAAAAAAAAATACTGTACCCTATAAAAAAGCAAACATCAATTATGAATTTTAAGACAGAGTTTCGGAGGTGGAGTGAACCAAAGATATTATCAAATCTAACACTTTATTCTGTAAATGCAGAAAGAGAAACCTAGGCTAGGCATAGTGGCTAACGCCTGTAGTCCCAGCACTTTTGGAGGCTGAAGTGAGAGTATCTCTTGAAGCCAGGAGTTCAAAACCAGCCTGGGCAATGTAGTGAGACCCTGTGTCTACAAAAAATTTAAAAAGTAGCTGGGCATGGTGGCACACATCTGTGGTCCCAGCTATTTGGGAGGCTGCATGGGAGGATGGCTTGAGCCTGGGATGTCGAGGCTACTGCACTCCAGCCTGGGTGACAGAGCAAGACCCTGTCTCAAAAAAAAAAAAATTTAAAAAAGTGAAACCTAGAAAAATAAAATGACCCATCCAAAATTAAGATGGAGAAAAAACAGCCAAACCAGGACTATAATTCAGGTCCTCCAGTTTTTCTCTATCCTCCCATTGTATACCTTGTCTCCTTTAAATTAAAATATTTTAAATTGCTTCACTATTTGCTATGAAATATTACTTAAAGAATATTTAAATTTTTACATTTGGGGCTTTATTTAGGTGCCTCAAATCATTCTTATGAAATAAAAAATTGCAAGTGAGTAACTTTTAAAGTGGGAGGTTAGCTTTTGTGAGTATGCGTGAGTCAATGATTTATATCTTAATGATAGTTTTATTTTAAATGTATACACTGTATTAACTCTCCTACCATAAAATTGATCAAAAGAAAGTGGGACTATTTTATATAAGGTAAGAGAATCAATAAGAAAACACAGGAAGATTCTCAGAGTTAAATGGATAATCACCAGGGGAAAATTCAGATGGCTAAAACATTTTGGTAAAATATGCAGGCTCACCAGTAATCATGGAAATGCAAAATAAAGTATACATAATTCCTCACTATCAAGTTAGGAGTTTTCACATTTTATAATACAGTCATGCATCGTATAACGAAAGTGGTCCCATAGTATAGTACCACATGTTCACCTTTTCCATGTTTAGATATATTTAGATATACGAATACTTACCATTGTGCTATAGTTGCCTGCAGTATTCAATATTCAGTACAATAACAAGCTGTACTGTATTGGTTTACACCCTATAGTGTAGTAGACTGTGCCATCTGGGTTTATGTATGTATACTCTATGATGTTCACACAGCAACAAAATCATCTAATGAAATATTTCTCAGAATATATCCCTGTCATTGAACGACACATGACTATACTGACAACTTGATATTGGTATTTGTAGCTAGTAGGATTGTAAATTTGTAAAAACGTTTTGGAAAACAATTCTTCAATATTGTAAAAAACTATAAAGTTCATTCCCTAGATTCACCTTCAGGTAATCCAGACTAAGTAAACAATCACAAATACAGAAAAATTTGTATGTATAAAATTTTTTTTTCCACTTGTCAAAAATTATACCCTCAAAATCTTGTCTTTCCAGCAGTAGGGGGAGGGTTAAATAAATTATGGTTTAATCAGTTGCAGTCATTTAAAACTATGCTTGCAAAGAGTTTAATGAAATAGGAAAATCACTAGAATAAGTTAAAAAGGAGATTTTAAAATTGTATCTGTGCTAGGGTTGCCATCAGGTAAAACTGTATGAAAACTAATTCTGTAAGGCAGAATTAAATTATTTGATATTTAATGGCCTTTTTAAGTAGTAGAATTATGGATTTTTCCTCTTTAAAAATATTTTTTATACTTTGTATTTCCTGTATATTTTTAATACAGCTTTTATTCAACAAAGCATATATTTGGGTTTTTTTTTTGGTCACTGGACAAAAGACAAAATGAAACAATGTGATATTTGGCTTAGGTAGTTCTGAAATGTGTTTGATTTACAGTAGCCCCCACATCCAGTGGGGGATTCACTTTCTGTGGTCAACAACAGTCCAATAATATTAAATGGAAAATACCAAGAATAAACAATTCATAAGTTTTAAATGCAAGACATTCTGAATAGTGCAATGAAATATTGCAGTGTTCTGCTCTATCCTGCCTGGGATGTGAATCATCCCTTAGTCCAACTTATCCACACTATCTGTGTTACCCACCCAGTAGTCGCTTATTAGCTGTCTTGGGTATCAGATCGATAAAACATAGTGTTTATAGAGTTGTGTACTCTCCATGGTTTCAGGCATCCACTGGGGGTCTTAGAAAGTATCACCTTCAGAAAAGGGAGGACTACTGTATATATAGAGGATATCAAATTTATTAAGCTCCCTGCTTAGGCTCTTCTAGATTATCTAACAGGTTAACTTTGCTCTTCAACAGGATGTACCCTTTATATTGTCTGGGCCACTCTCTACCGATGTGCCTTGGATATAATGATCTGGAACTCTGTGTTCTTGGGTGTCAACATTTTGCATCTGTCATATCTTTTATACAAGAAGAGACCGGTAATTACTAAAATTAATTAATAAGGAAGTGATTTTAAAGCTAAAACTTTGAAAGGTACTTTGTTGAGACTTAAAAGTAAGCATCTAGCATGTTTAGTCACTTAATATCATTTCTCTGAAGTTTTAGGCTTTCTGTTTACATATGCCTGAAAGTGAAACATTTTAGTACCATGAAATTTGTTCTACAAATGAGTTTTTAAAACTTTAAAAATCAATAGCATATGAGAGAACATGAATAATATTCTCCTTTTTAAGTCATATTACTTGATTTTTTTGTATTGATATTCACATGTTACCTGGAAATATCACTGCCCAGTTACAAAGTTACTTACTAATAGGCAACTTCTGTAAACATTCTTATGATTTACAAATAGTTCATACTAGTTTTTAGTGTAATAACTATATATTTTTCTAATGCCCAAAATGTTCATTTAAGAAAGTCACCAAATTTGGTGGGTTGCTACCAAAACACCAGTCTTTAACTTTTTCTTTTCAACTCTGATTTATCTTGTATTCCTTGATCATACCAAGAATAAAAATAGAGTAGGAAAACAGCAGGGTCCTAGAAATCACCCCATATGTATTTGCCGACTTTCCTAAGCACAGCAAACATTCAGTAAAGTAAAAGATACAATGCTTGCCTTAATCGTATGTTTGGGGCCAGATTTGCATGTAGAAAACCATCAGAAAACAAGACGATTCATTGAAGATTCTAATTTGGATGATACAGATGATATATAATAGGCATTCAACTAGATTGTAACCTCGTCCAGACATAGTGACTCAGTCTGTGTTGTTTTGCTGTATTATTCAGTTTTCTCTAGGTTATACTATGTAATAAATCTCAATGATATGTAACAGCAAATGGGCTTTTTTTCTCACCCACCTTGTATCTTGACTCTGGCAGCTATGTGTCAGCTGTGATTCTGTTCTATGCATCTCATTCATTTCAAGGTCTGTGCTGAAGCAGCAGGTTCTCTTTGGACCATGCATTGTCATGGCAGAGGGAAAAGTACTAGAGAGCAAAAGAGAAACACCCAATGTCTCTTAAAACTTTTGCTCAGAAGGGACATACATTGTTTCTGTTCACATTTCATTGGCAAAAACGAGTGGCATGGCCAAGTTTGATAATATGGGGCATGGGGTCGAGTAAGGGGATGTACAGTCCTCTTACAGAGGTTGGGAACAGTGAATAATTGGGAATAGTAATCTAACACACTTACTGTTGTATCCACTTTTCCTGTCGAACATGATTGGCACACAGTAGGTGCTCAAAAAAACCTTTGATGAGTAAATGCTTTCAAAGAGGAAAAGAATTAGGCCAAGTGAAGTGGCTCATGCCTGTAATCCCAACACTTTGGGAAGCCTAGGTGGGTGGATTACCTGAGGTCAGGAGTTCAAGACCAGCCTGGCCAACATAGCAAAACCGTGTCTCTACTGAAAAATACAAAAATTAGCCGGCGTGGTGGTGCACACCTGGAGTCCCAGCTACTCAGAGGCTGAGGCACAAGAATCGCTTGAACCCAGGAGGCGGAGGTTGCAGTGAGCCAAGATTGTGCCACCGCACTCCAGCCTGGGTGACAGAGCGACACTCTTGTCTAAAAAAAAAAAAAAGAGGAAAATAATTAATAAGAGGGCTTCATGCGGCTGGGCGCCGTAGCTCATGCCTGTAATTCCAGCACTTTGGGAGGCCTAGGTTGGAAGATCACTTGAGCCCAGGAGTTCGAGACCAGCCTGTGCAATATAATAAGACCCTGTCTCTACAAAAAAATTTAAAAATCAGGTGGATACAGTAGCACACACTGTTGTCCCAGCTTCTCGGGAGGATCACTGGATCCCAGGAGTTTGAGACTGCGGTGAGCTATGATCACACCACTGCACTCCAGCACAGGCAACAGAATGAGACTCCGTCTCCAAAAAATAAATACATAAAAAGGGCTTGATCTGAGAGTTACGGGATGAGCAGATTATGAATAAATCATATTAAATGCTCATTACTAGAGGTTTGGAGTGGAAGAGGTGGATAATGACTGCATTTTCTGAATGTCAGAACTTGCTGGAACCCCAAAATTTAAGGTTCAGAAGTTGCTAATGTGATCATAGCACCAAATAGGTAAATCACTTAGTATCTGTGCTTTTGTTTCTTCTCATACTATAAATCTACTTTTTTGAAAAATATAAATGCTGGATTTTCCTTACAATGAAACAGCAGGACAGGTAGGAGCATTGCAAATGCTACAGTGACATCAGGTTGGAGCAGCTGTCATGATCCGAGTCTATAGGCTTCATATCGTGCCTGCCAGAGATACAGTGCAGTATGGTTTTCCATCCACCTAATTAGTGTGACTTCCAGAGACTAATGCTGGGCCCAAAGATTGGGCATGACCTGGGCTTTGGAGAATCTGACAACAAAAATGATTAAGCCATTTTGTTTTTCTCTTCCTCCAGTAGCCAGCCTTATTTGCCAGTGGGTTCTCCATTTTACAGAGTTCATTTTAGCTTAGGATGAAACTTCTACACTAAGACTCTTACACCCTTTTATTTTTCCTTCGCTTTGCTTGAGAGTACATAAATGAGAAGCAGTGATTGTAGCTGTGCATTTTTGTTTTTCTATATTGGTGCATTAAGTAATTACATGGAGATAAAATGCTTAATGTATGTGTTACTTTTGTAAATTTGTTTCCTCATTGATTCCTATTTTGTGTGTTTATTTTCTTGCTGCCATATTTAAAAGTTAGTAAATTTTTTTGTGTGTATGAAACAAAAGGTTTCACAGAAAAGGTTTTCTGTTATTTATAGAAGGTGCTAAGGTTAGGAAGGTGAATGTTGTGACAACATTCAAAACCTAAACAGTTGCAAAACCTAAACAGGCTGCTCTCAAACTCTTGGACTCAAGTGATCCTCCCACCTCAGCCTCCCAAAGTGCCAGAACTACAGGCATGAACTACCTCACATGACCTAACCGTACCCTTTTAGGATCTAAAGTATAAACTTCTGTCACCATTTCACTTGCTGTGTAAGATTCTGTTGGCCTCAATACGGAAGGGTGATGGTATATATCAAAGATTTGTTTGTTCTCAAAACCATATTTGGACCACAGAGGTCAGTGTTTTGGGGTTGCCGCTGCTTTGGTACAGCATCTAGTCATTGCTGCATTTCAGGTAAAGATTGAAAAGGAACTCAGTGGCATCTACCGGCGGTTGTTTGAACCACTCCGTGTGCCTCCAGATTTGTTCAGAAGACTAACTGGACAGTTTTGCATGATCCAAACCTTGAAAAAGGGCCAGACTTATGCTGCAGAGGATAAAACCTCAGTTGATGACCGTCTGAGTATTCTCTTAAAGGGAAAGTAAGTGTTCTGTGGAAATCACAATTCCTAGTTTACCTTTAATTTTTTCATGGCCTCTGGGAAGGAAATGAATGGAAGGAAATGTCGCCAATGAATGGAGGAAGCAGTCACAGAATTTGTTGTTGGTGGAATTTTATGCTACAACTACACTTTACAACGCTGCAGAGCAACATGTTAAAGCCAGGTTGAATGTACTGCTCTGAATCTTGATGTCAGGATTTTCAATTGCAAGTATTTTAACCATTTTTGACCTTTTATTAAAAATGAATGAGTCAAAATTGAAGTGGATTTAAATTAGACATTGAAATTCAAAAAGCCTATGCATGCTTCAGAGTTAATTTGTCTTGAATATCACAAAAATGCAACTTCTAGGAATATCAGCCTTTCGGGGAGAGAGTCAGTCTCTGTTGTGCTGGCACTGTTATTAATGACACCTCTTTCCCTCTCAGAAGTGTCCCAGCTAGAGTAACAGATTATATGGTCACTTCCATTAGACGAGCAATAGTTACCACTAGATGGCATACATCTGACTCAATATTGGACACTGTTTTTTTCTTGTTCCAATGTTATTTTTTGAAATACTTGTGCCTCAAGAAGTGCTTTTACTTCTGTCCATCATCTGTGGAATTTTAAAAACTGTACTACAAAATAAAATCACATAAGATTATAGCAGTTTTAAGGATCATGATGGTATTTGTGAAATATTGCTTTTATTAACATTAATTTCTGTTATCAGAATGAAGGTCTCCTATCGAGGACATTTTCTGCATAACATTTACCCCTGTGCCTTTATAGATTCTCCTGAATTTAGATCAACTCAGATGCACAAAGGTGAAAAATTCCAGGTAGGTTTTCACATGATTTTTAAGGAGATTGAAGCTAGTTTGCATCTCATTCAGAATCCAGAGGATAGTAATAGAAACACAGCTATGAGTTATTGGGGAAAAGAAATAAGTTTACCATAGGGCGTGTATAGTATTGTCTCCCTTTTTTTTTTTTTTTTTTTTTTTTTTTTTGAGACGGAGTCTCACACTGTTGCCCAGGCTGGAGTGCAGTGGTGCAATCTCAGCTAACTGCAAGCTCCGCCTCCCGGGTTCATGCCGTCGTCCTGCCTCAGCCTCCCGAGTAGCTGAAAGTACAGGCACCCACCACCATGCCTGGCTAATTTTTTGTATTTTTAGTAGAGAGGGGGTTTCACCATGTTAGCCAGGATGGTCTCACTCTCCTGACCTCGTGATCTGCGCGCCTTGGCTTCCCAAAGTGCTGGGATTACAGGCGTGAGCCACCACATCTGGCCTAAAAAATACTGTATATATTATATGTACAGAAAATGTTCTAGAAAGATATATTCTAATTTTGTCATAATGTTATTTATAGACTGTGTTTGATTGCTTTTTTAAACTTTTTTTGCTTATTTGAATTTTTATAAGTTTTTCTATAGAAAACATCTTATGCTTTATTAGCAAAAAGGAAAATGTGAGTTGTAGATAGTCAGTGTTCTTAAACTATGTAATTGACATTTATTGGGGAAAACCAGAAAACTGGCTTCGCCTTAGGGAATTTATTTTGTTAATTCTTATGAAAGAAATCTAATCACTAAACTCTTTTGTACTTAATGAATATGTTTAAGGGTAAAGAATGAAGTTCTTCATGATGGCAGTAATTTGAACGTGGACTACTTAGTGTGATTCCTTTTGTGTTAAAACAAATTACTCTGGCTGGGCACGGTGGCTCATGCCTGTAATCCTAGCCCTTTGGGAGGCCGAGGCGGGTGGATCACGAGGTCAGGAGATCGAGACCATCCTAGCTAACATGGCGAAACTCCGTCTCTACTAAAAATACAAAAAATTAGCGGGGCATGCTAGCAGGTGCCTGCAATCCCAGCTACTCCGAAGGCTGGGGCAGGAGAATAGTGTGAACCCGGGAGGCAGAGCTGCAGTGAGCCAAGATCGCGCTACTGCACTCCAGCCTGGGCAACAGAGCGAGACTCTGTCTCAAAAACAAACAAACAAACAAACAAAACACAAATTGCTCCATTACGTGGCACTTTGTTTTGATTCTTTCTGTAAGTGTCCAGCCCTCCTATTATATTCATTCACCTTGTTATTGGAAGGAAATTAACCAAGAAAATAAATGGGTGAGGGTTTCCTTTAGTCTCAGCCTCTGGATTAACAGCAGTAAGGAAATATCTTGAGAATGGGATTGTTTATGGGCAAGAAGGTAAATCTATTTAGGTAAGAAATGGAAATAAAGAGGCTATTACTACCTGAGGGAGGATGAAATGTTAGTGTTTCTTGATGACAGTCTTATTTTAGAATCTCATTTTGAGATGCTATACAATTTGGGATGCAACAAAAGTGGAGATAAAAGAACATTTGCAGACATACAGTTTAGTTTATATCATTTACGATGGTTTCAGCCCTGCCCTGCTCCCGCCCTTCCTGAATAACTGGCCTGAGTAATCATGGAGCTTGTTCGTTATGTGCATTTACTAAAAGGTTGCATATGGATTCACTGTTATGAAACGTTCTTCCCAAGCTGGCTGGGCTTACAATACAGAAGGAGACAGCTAATGCTGTGTCCTCGTCCTCTCTACACTCTCACCTTGTTGTGAGGGTCAGCTTTGCTGTGAGATTTATGTTCTTATTTTATCTTTAATCACCACCATCTACAGACTGGTGCAGGACCACATCTTTTTTCTCTCCTTCTTTCCTGTGACCTTTTTACACTTTCTTCTTCCAAAGTCCAACATTTATTGCCTGTATTTCTTTTGCCTGTGTATAGTAGTAGGTCATTTTGTGTGATAACTCTGTGTATAGTAGCAGGTCGTTTTGTGTGATAACTATCTCATATAATCCTGAAGAGACTGGGATTTGAGGATGGGGTGGGAATTGAACCTGCTTTGTTTCCAAAATCAAAGTGGTCCCCAAGAGGCCAGAAATACTATTATACTATCTTTTCCACTGGACTTCAGATTATGTTTATAATAAGTCAACAAAAAGGAATTCCTACCACTAGCTACAGTTCTCTTTCTTCTTGGGGACTAGGAATTGGATTTTGGTAGTTGAGAGTTGTTCCCAGTAATTATTATAAAGACTCCAAAAACATGACCAAAATTTTATAGTACCATAGCTTGGTGGAGAAAATGTATTCAGCTTTTCCTAATGCCAGTCAGCTTTTCTCTGCATAGAGTCTCGTGTGGCATTTCCTGATTGGCCAGTAGATTAAAACTAGCATCATCAAGCCTGTGTCCTGTATAGCTAGAGCCATCAGAGTAAGCCCTTGGGAGAGACTGTACTTTGATTGTTTACAAAATGTTCCTGTTGGCAGATCCTCGAGAGTAATAAATAGCTGTTACACATCTGTGTAGGAGTATGTATATTGCCACTTACCCATGCAAGTTCCCAAATGAAAAATGTCACATTCTCCCAGAGCCAACTTCTCACTACCTGTGCCAATGGCAGAGGACGCTTGAAATCATCAGCCATCAGACTTCTTCACCCTCACACTTTTTAGCTGCCAAGCTCATCCTTCCCTAACTCTGACCAGTTAACAGTGTTAGATGAGGAGCTACTTTCTTTGAATTTCTCTTTCTTTAAATTCATTCTGTGGTCAGGGTGCTCATGAATTGTACAATAGGATGAAAAGGAGGAAAGAGAACGCAAGTGGACTCAATGACTGTCCCTTGAGATTGCACAACAGGTGTTGCTCAGGTAAATATGTAGTAATTATCATGATAATAAGCATAGCGATAGAGCTGAGACAACAGATTCTGAACTTACAGTTTGTTATCCCTAGGAACTTATAGTGATTTTGGTACTTATAGCCCAGAGTTGCTGTTTATAAGTATTGATAGAATCTTGAGTATTATTATTACAAAAGATAAAAGTAGGCTGGGTGTGGCAGCCCACGCCTGTAATCCTGGCACTTTGGGAGGCCAAGGTGGGTGGATCACCTGAGGTCAGGTGTTTGAGACCAGCCTGGCCAACATGGTGAAACCTCATGTCTACTAAAAATACAAAAATTGGCCAGGCATGGTGGCAGGTGCCTGTAATCCCAGCTACTCAGGAGGCTGAGGCAGGAGAATCACTTGAACCCAGGAGGCAGAGGCTGATGCAAGAGAATCGCTAGAACCCAGGAGACCAAGATAACGCCACTGCACTCCAGCCTGGGCGACAGAGTGAGACTCCATCTCGGAAAAAAAAAAAAAAAAGATAAAAGTAGTGTTTTATTTGGTTTCTTCTTCTTTATGTAGATGTTTTATATTAAGTGAGCTTTACTGTTTACAAGCTTTTCTTTTGTATTCTATCTCATGCTGCTGCTTTCCCATAGCCAATAGCATGTCCTGGTGTTGCAAAGCCCAAAAATCAAAGTTTTACTGACTTTAAGGAGAGAGGAATGTCTTGCAGGTATATGTCCATGCTCTTGTAAAAGAAATGAACACTAAGTTTTAATGGTATTGAAAGAAAACATTATCTTAATATTAACTAAATATTTTGGTGGAGCTGCGAAGCGATTTCCTCTGCCACTTTTGAATCTGTGTTATTTTAGTGCTTAGGAGAACTCAGTCAGCATCAGTGGAATAGACCACTTCTAGGATATTTTAGTGTTTGGTGTATGAAATGCAGTATGATGCATGCAAAAAGTATGAAATGATTTCCTCAGGACAGTCAGCCAGTCCTATTGCCACACGGCGGTTTCTGATTCTAGCACAGGTGGCAGATCCCTCAGAGACCTTTGTTTCCAGCAGTGGAGCCCAGTGTCTTCTCTTTACGACAGGCTGTAGAATTGGTTTGGAATCTAAAGGGAGGAACTGATCCAATATCTTGTGGTAATCATGGCAAACCTGTTTGCAAATGCTTAGTCTAATTCTCGACCTGAAAGATGTCCTTTTATGTCTTCTGTTGCCATATTTGCTTTTATTTCTTCAGTAAAATTCTTCACAAGGACATAACCATAGCACTGCTGAAATGCCTAATAAGAAGTAAATTTATTTTATGGAAACTTTTAAAATTCTTATATTGCTTTATAAGATATTCTCATAAAAAATACACTTTGCTTGACTGTTGTGACAGGAAATCATTAAATAAAACTGTCTATTTGGTAGAAACGAAGCATTAGGTATCAAGTAAAATGACCTCAGTCAGCACTTAACTGCTGGCTTCCAACTAAATCCATGTTTTTATGGGCCTGTAAGTTACTCATATGAACTAAGTACAGCTTATTATTTGAATACTGTTATTTTGTATTCAGTAATAACTTAAACAGGCCAAAAGTAATTTTTTAACCATCAATAAAAAGTGAATTTGCTAAGGAAATTACAGTGTCATCGTAAAAGTTTCATTGCCTCGGTGGAAATTTGAGGTAGTTCAGATGGCTGAAGAAAAGGTTAACGGCCTTATGTATCATCTAAATATAATTTCTTCATCTTCTAGATGATTTCCATCTCATCTTTTAACTGCTTCTCCCGCTGTTTTCCAGAGTCCTGGGTGACATCTTTGCCCAATGAAGAGACGTCAGTCCTAACTGTCTTTAGCGCTTGGGTGCTTGGCTGGGGCCTCATGAGGACCCCATGCTCACTTTTCTGTTATTACACCAGGAGTATTTTTCAGCTGCCTTCCATTTATGCACCCGCCTCATACCGTTTGTGGGAATTCCCCAGGGGCAGTTGGCTTCTACTCCTCTTTCTGTAAATCGTGCCATGTTTTTGATCCTGTTTCTTTATTAGCAGCCTCCTCCGCTAGAATATAGGCTTCGTGGCATGTGTTCAGCCGTTCTTTGCATGAGGGGCTCTTGTGGACTGCACAGCCAACCTCGTAGTCGCTAGGCAGAAATACTTTCTATGAAATGGTATTGATGAGTATTGGGTATATCGGGTAGATTTTGACCTGGTGGGAAAATACATTTGGGCTGAAAGTCAAAAGTGCTCACAGTACCACTAATTTTTTTTTTTGGAGATGGAGTCTCACTCTGTCCCCAGGCTGGAGTGCAGCGGCGCCATCTCGGCTCACTGCAAGCTCCGCCTCCCGGTTCAAGGGATCATTGTGCCTCAGCCTCCTGAATAGCTGGGATTACAGGCGCCTGCCACCATGCCTGGCTAATTTTTTGTACTTTTAGTAGAGACGGGGTTTCACCATGTTGGCCCAGGCTGATCTCGAGCTCCTGGCCTCAAGTGATCTGCCCATCTCAGCCTCCCAAGTTAGCTGGGACTATAGGCACATGCCAGCAGGCCCAGCTAATTTTTGTATGTTTTGTAGAGCCATTCTACCACTAATTAATATATGTTTGTGAGTTTTTTGGTCCTTCGCATTTGGCATCTGAAAAATGGAGAATAATATTACTTGTCTTATTTTAAACAGACTTTTGAGGATCCACTTACATGATAGATATGAAAGCACCTTAAAGTTTAAAAGTACGTATACAAAGTGAGTGGCATTATGTGCGACTGTCACCCCCTAGTCATTCTCGACCACTTTCTCCTGTTCTATAGTTGTCAGAACACTCACTGCCACCTGAAATGGTCATATTTCTTTATTAATTATCATCCTTCTCCACTAGAATGTAAGCTTCATGGGGCAAGCGTCTTGTCTTTCTTGTTCACCATTGTAACTTCATACCTTGAAGAGTATCTAGCATAAAGTACATGCATAGTAATGTATATCGAAAGAATGAATGAAATTTAGTGTCTCAGACACTGATGCATTTCTTAAAAACAAATTCGTTTGGTTTTGGAAATTCCTACTTTTGATATAGTAAAAAAACACAAGCTTTTTTCCCTAGGAACCTTGACACCACTTTTTAAAGTAGCCGGACATTCTTAATTTGCCAACGATCAGATTTCAGCTTGTTGAAGTAAGGAGACAAGCTGGGTTTTTCGTTTTCTGTCTTGGTAGACGTACATACCCCCTTGTCCTCTGAAATGTGTTTACTTTTGTGACAAAAGGGACAGAGCTTCTTTGGAAACATTTGCTCTGAGGCTCAGCTACGACTGGATGTCAGTTTAACAAACCTTTTATTAGGACAGACATTGGTTTTTGCCTTCTACAGTATTTGTGCTCATTTGTTTTGTTTTTGTTTTTGAGATGAGGTCTCGTGCTGTCACCCAGGGATCTCCTGCTGCCCCTGTATGATCGAGTGTAGTTGTGTGATCATGGTTCACTACAGCCTTGACCTTCCTGGGCTCAGGTGATCCTCCCACCTCAGCCTCCCAAGTAACTGGAACTACAGGCACATGCCACCATGTCCAGCTAATTTGTGTATGTTTTGTAGAGCCAGGGTTTTGCCATGTCGTGGTGTTCATTTGCTTAAGTCCTTCATACAATCGTCATGCATTGAGCACCACTCCATGTTGGAAGTCAGGCATTCAGACAGACATGAGATAGACAATCCCTGGCTTCACAGTGCTTAGAACAGGCAGATTTGTCAATTGATGAGCTTGGATTTAATGATAGGATTTAAGCCATAATGAAGCTTACAGGAGTGTTAACTGATAGAAGAGGACTACATGGGAGGAGGGGCTTCCTGACACTGAGTTGTGAGGACATGGCCCCTCACTCTGGCAGAGGGATTTATTTGAGGGATGCTTGAGCTCTGTGTTGTGCAGTTATAGTACCTTTCTGCTTTCCTACGTACAATACTGAAGGAAAGGGGGTATGATTTCAAGTTCTGAGCTAATTCAGGGTTGTCTGTGAATATCTCGAATGGGCTACCCTGGATCTGACCTTGAAATGTGACACTCGAGAAACACCTATGACAGAAGAACCCTCACCAACCATATTCATCAGCAACAGCCGGGGGCCCTTGAAGTTTTCTCAGTCTTTAGTGTATATTTGCAGAGTTGGATGGGCAGAAGGTCTTCCATCTATAACTTTCCTCATGAATCTTACCTCAGTTCATCTGCTTGAAGCTGTATTTTTGAACTTCATTGTAATGTACAGGGTGTAAAGAAATATTTCATGTAAGTCATATGTCCAGTGGCATCCTCAGTTGAATACATGCTCTGGCAGCGGTAACAATACAATGGCCATTCTTCTGTCACCAGACCTCACAAAACAAAACAACAATGAAACCCAGAGAATTTGCTTTTATTTAGTCTGCAGATTGCTTTTGTAAAAACATAATTTTATACATATAGAAGCTTGTGTGCATTAAGTCTTAATTTAATTTGACAAATCATTGCTATGATAATGTCCACTAAATCATTCCTACTTTTCTCTTCTAAATCACTATAGTCATAATTCATATACATAGAAGTACTTTATTCTTTGCATGCTTGTTTCTTTGGCAGGTCACCATTATTGCAGATGATAACTGCAGATTTTTATGCTGGTCAAGAGAAAGATTAACATACTTTCTGGAATCAGAACCTTTCTTGTATGAAATCTTTAGGTATCTTATTGGAAAAGACATTACAAATAAGCTCTACTCATTGAATGATCCCACCTTAAATGATAAAGTAAGTGTTTTCTGAGTTTATTTTGTTAAATAAATATGTATGTGAGGTATATTTCACTTTATGAAATATGTTTTCCTGAATTTTTAGTAACTAGTCATATGTTAAATGCACTGGGGATACTTGTAATCTTGAGAGGAGAAAGTATTTTGTAATGATTAGATTTGCTGTTACTTAGTAAGGAGTCTATAACTGTCAGGGACTAGTGTTTATGGTGATAAGGCACCCTCTTCATCAAGAGCATGTTAAGGAAGATGGTAAAGGAGTAAGAGGGGGTAGAGGATGGAGTAGGTTAGGGAGGACAGGGCAACTGGAGGTTTGCAGACAGAGAAAGGCTGACAGACCCCAGCGATCAGGAAGTTGGCCTTCGAACCCTGCTGTCTTCCAGTCTTGCATATCTTCAGGTCAGGCCAGAAGGTGAAAAGAGAGGTGTAGAGCTGCATAGATCGTCAACAGTTTGCAATTTGATCTTAATTTTCCCGTATCTTTTTGGAAAGAAAATGATTAGAAGAGAGAATTTTTAAAAACGTCATTTCTCTGATAAGTACTGTTACCCAGTGACAATTGAGTATATGTGCCCTTTCAAAATCATCTTGTCTGGGCTGTTTATCAAATTAAGCTGGTGCTTATTTCAGTTAATGATTTAGCTTATTATGAATAGGCTACTAAGTATATTTGATTTTTTATAATATATTTATAGTAATAACTAATAATAAAAATCATAGCTTATGTTTATTGGTCACCCAATATGTATCGGTATTCTTTTTTTATGCCCTGGCATATTTCTCGGAAAAGTACATGCTGCTTAAATGGAATATATGATTCAACTCCCATAAATCTCAGAAAGCTTAAAACTTTGCTTTGTAGAAAGCCAAAAAGCTGGAACATCAGCTCAGCCTCTGCACACAGATCTCCATGTTGGAAATGAGGAACAGTATAGCCAGCTCCAGTGACAGTGACGACGGCTTGCACCAGTTTCTTCGGGGTACCTCCAGCATGTCCTCTCTTCGTAAGTTATCCTAAAACTGATACTACTCCAGAGTTCTGATGGATATCTCTGGACGTAGACAAATGACAACTTTGATTAGAAAAATAACTTTGCAGGTAACTATTTGGCAACCTAAAGGTAACAATAAAAACAATCAAATTTTGTTTAGCATTACCCCCATATTGCGTATGAGCTAAAAGCCAACTTTAGAACTCTTATTTCTGTTTCAGAAATTGTTCACTGGTTTTGCCATATACTTGGCTTAAATAGTGGCTCACCGGCTGGGCACAGTAGCTTATGCCTGTAATCCCAGCACTTTGGGAGGCTGAGGTGGGCAAATCACAAGGTCAGGAGATCGAGACCATCCTAATACGGTGAAACCCCATCTCTACTAAAAATACAAAAAAAAAAATAGCTGGGCGTGGTGGTGGGCTCCTGTAGTCCCAGCTACTAGGGAGGCTGAGGCAGGAGAATGGCGTGAACCTGGGAGGTGGAGCCTGCAGTGAGCCGAGATCGCGCCACTGCACGCCAGCCTGGGCAACAGAGTGAGATTCCGTCTCAAAAAAAAAAAAAAAAAAAAAATAGTGGCTCACCAGAATACTCTGAAAGAGTTCACATGGTTTGGTTTTGTTGCTTTTGTTTTGTTTGGTTTTGTTGCCATTTGGTTTTGTTACTTTCATGACTTTAGTTAGAGTGAAGATCTAGACCCAGAAATGTTTTGAAAAATGGTAGACAAATAAATGCTGGATGTTCTGCTGCTGGCTAGTTATCTCAGTATGAGTGCCATGAGTTAAAAAGTGATTGGGAACTGGAATATTCCCAAAGATGAAGGAGATCACTAAACACCCTTGTGAGTTACCTCATTCACACACCTGCCCAGAGGCACATTTTCCAGGATTCTTCCATAGTTTAGATTGTTTCAAAACATTTTAAGTAGCACAAACAACCCAGATGTTGAAAATTAGTAAGTAAAATGAGAAAAACTAAATTAAGCATTAAATGCTTAATATTAAGAATTAGTCTAAGAATGATAGTATAAAAACTTTGAACAAATTCATATGAAATAGCAAAAAGGCAGACATTCTTCCATTGCATGAATTAAAAACTATTTGTATTTCCAATTGTATTTTAAACCAAATTAACTTTTAAAAAATGCAAACACATTAAACAATTCTTTGTGTAAATGGATCTTGTAACTTTGTATGCCTTAGATAAGTTAGATTGGGGATTTTAAGTATTACATAGTCAGGAGAGGCTGGAATTTACAAGGCCATATAATTGGTGTGTAGGAAAGAAAAAACTTTACCTCTTCCCTTTTAGGGTTGTTTTTGGGCTGGACCTGAGAATTAAATTGACATAAGACAGATTAACAAGAGAAAAGGATACACATTTAATACAAGTTGTGTGAGTTTGTGTTAAAAGCTCATACAGGTTTTACATGGCACAAAAGCTTTCATAAGGAAATGAAGACCTGAAAAAGCAATTAAACAGTTTATAGTGAATTGGACAAAGAATAGTAAGTTGTGAAAAAGCAACTAAATTATACTGAAAGACTTAAAGACAAAAGAGTTGTTTTAATAAAGGCTTGTACAGAATTCTCTCTGCCTCAACATCTTGATGATAAGAATGTCGTTTTCCTTCTAATATTTTTGGAGGTCACCTTTCATACAAGAATTTCATCTCCTGTTTTTTGTTTGTTTTTTTTTTTTTTTTTTTTTGGTGGGATTGGGGGATTGTTTTGTTTGTTTGTTTTTTGTTTTTTGTGTTTATTTTTGTTTTTGAGGCAGGGTCGCTTTTTGTCACCCAGGCTGGAGTGCAGTGGCACAATTACAGGTCACTGCAGCCTTGAACTCCTGGGCTCAAGGGAACTTTGTCTCTATAAAAATAAAAAAAAAATTGCTGGGCGTCGTGGTGCAGGCCTGTAGTCCTAACTACTCAACAGGCTGAGGCAGGAGGATCCCACCTGCCTCGGCCTCCCAAAGTGCTGGGATTTCAGGCGTGAGCCACTGCACCTGGCCTGCATAGTAACTTTTTGAAGGTATTAACTAAAGCTTACATGAAGGTCGGGAGCTGCACTTCCCTGCTTTTGGGACTCAGCCAAAGGACCAGCTGCCATCTGGGTCACTGCCATTGTAACTGCAGAGGGAAGACAGTGGTGGCAGATTTACAAGATGGCTGTTAAAGCTCCTGCTCCAAAGGAGCAAGTAGCTCTTCCGTGCATGTTCCTTGGGCCACAGAAGTCACTTGCCAGAACCAACATCAATGGATAGATCATTTAACCCTCCTGCAGGGCTGTGAAGGGGCTAATGAGAAACAAAGCAGGTGGAAAGCTGGACTATAACACAGTCTACTATAGCAGGTGTTATGTCATTTTACAGATGAGGAAATTGGGAATATGAGATGCTTATTCACTTGCTCCTCTTCCATAGTGACTGGTTCTGCAATACAAACCTAGGGATCCCGTCTGATTCCAAAGCTCGTGTTTGGCCAGGCACAGTGCCTCACACCTGTAGTCTCAGCACTTTGGGAGGTTGAGGCTGGAGGATCGCTTGAGCCCAGGAGTTCAAGACTAGCCTGGGCAATGTAATAAGACCCCTTCTCTACAAAAAAATTAAAAAATTATCCAGGCATAGTGATACATGTCTGTGATCTCATCTTCTTGGGAGGCTGAGGTGAGAGGATTGCTTGAGCCAGGGAAGTCAAGGTTGCAGTGAGCCATAATTGAGCCACTGCACCGAAGCCTGGGTGACAGAGTGAGACCCTGTATCAAAAAGAAAACAGAAAAAGAAAAACAGAAGCTCATGCTTGTAGACCAGATTACCTCTGTGGTTTTTTTAAATGCACGTAGCAGTTGACTTGTGTTTTTAGATGTACAGGTCACCCTCACATCCGTTCTTGCATTTGAACCTGACAGCTATGTGAGCTAGGCACAGGAGCTGTTATTGTTCGCCTCCTTGCAGATGAGTCCACCTAGAGTTGGTGAAGGTAGTGACTTATCCCAAACCACTTTTTGTCAACTCCCACCTACTTTTCTGGGGTAACCTGTCATCCCCTGAATCCTTCCTTGTGATCAAGTAGTGCTGCAGATAGGTTTTTGTAGATGGGTTAATGTAATCCACTTCAGTGAACATTTTTGCTTTATTCTTAGCACTGGAGTACCAGGATCCTACTTAGGAACATGTGAAATTATCCAATGATAATCTCCAGTGTCATTTAGCTTTTAGTTAGAGTACTTACAGAATTACAAGCAGTGTCACTCCATACAAAATTAAATATACCTTATGTATTTCCTTAAACCTTTTTACATTGTTCCACCTATTCATTAACCCAAACCTAGGTCGATTTAAACATTAACATGCATATGAATATTTATAATTATTTTTCGAATCATGATCTGAATAACATGGGCACATTGCATTCAGCCGCTACACCTCGGGGCTCCCTTTCTAGTCTCTCTCTGTCTCTGTGTGTGTGTTTCTGCATATGTTTTTATTTGGGTTTTTTGATTTGTCCTGTAGAACAACAGATTCTTAAATGTGCATATGAATCACCTGGAGATCTTATTAAAGATCCTGATGTAGCAGGCTGGGGTGGGGGTTTGGGAGTCCACAGGTTTAACCAGTGCCCAGGTGATACCAGTGTGGCTGTTCTGTGAACTACGCTTTGAGTAGGGAGGCTGTAGAATTTTCCACCTTCTGGAATTTTGCTGAGTTCATCCCTATGGTGGTGATTATGGTGTTCTTGTCTTTCTCATCTGCCTGGTAGTTGGGTCTAGAAGCTTGCATAACTTCTGGTAAAGGCTACTTTAAAGATCTCAATCAGTAATGCGACAAATATACTTCATAACTTTACACAGCAAATGTTCAGTGAAACAGAAATACGGATCAGAAAAAGGTGGAGGAAAACTAAGTGACCTGTTTTAATGAAATTGCTGCTGCTCCCATTTCTCATGTTGTACTCTGCTTTTATACATGCCACACAACGCTAAATCCGCAGCAAGGTCTCTACTCCTTTCCACACAGATTCTGTATTCCCACTCCACATTGTCATTTAAAGGGAAGAAAGTGAAGTCATGAGATAGCCTGAGAAAAAGTCATTTTTCTCTCTGTTTTTTCAGTAGTTCAGAATTCATTTAACTCTTTCACTTTCTCATTGCTTCGTTTACTGGGTTTCATGTTTGCAAACATGGAACATAGTGAGATAGGAAGAGAGGAAGAGACAAGCTGTATGAGATGTGTGAGAATCTTTAGTGCCAGTGTATGTAGGAAAGCTTTCTTCTCTTGGCTCCTGGACCAAGGTGTTGCTCGTCAGGGTACCTTGTTGTCATCTTCTTGTCATCTTCTCTCCTCCTTAGCTCCCTTCATGTATAAAACACACACATTCACACAGATGGATTGTATTGGCAATTCCATCAGTAGTAAGTGCTGCCCAGCTCAGGCATTGCTATGGTAACAGGAAGACATATGTTTCCTTGAATGTTACAGAACTGTATTTTAGTTAATTGAGGTTAAATAACTTATCATTTGGATTTTTTTTTAAATCACAAGACAATATAGGCAATGCAATCAGTTGGAACTCATCTTTGAAAAAGCTTGTTAGTTTAAACCATGTCTTTTTTCATGAAATAAAAATTATGTTGTTTTTAAAGATGCTGTGAGATGTTTAGAGAGATGTTTCTTATTAAGATCTTTGTAAGTATTTTGTTTGTTATTAGTGTCAAGACAGTACTACATTGGCCAGGCACACTGGCTTACGCCTATAATCCCAGCACTTTGGGAGGCCAAGGCAGGAGGATCTCTTGACCCCAGGAGTTCAAGACGAGCATGGGCAACATAGCGAGACCCCCCCTCTACAAAAAATTTTTTAATTATCTGGAGGTGGTGGCATGCGCCTGTGGTCCCAGCTACTTAGGGGACTGAGCTAAGAGGACCACTTTAGCCTGGGAGATCTAGGCTGCAGTGAGCCATGGTCTTGCCACTGCACTCCAGCCTGGGTGAAAGAGTGAGACCCTGTCTCAAAGA